ACGTGTATTCTTTATCATTGTAGTTTCTATATTATGTTCTAAAACGTGGCAAACGATTAGGTATGAAATTTATATTTTGCAGCTACTATTCCTTGCATCTGTACTACACAAAAGTAAAATAGTAAAGATTGCCTCAGCCACACAATCCGCATAAAACGTTTGTGCATAAAGCTTTTAGTAAATAAATCAATTTATCCGTAGGATTAATTAAGTACTGGTTGGCAAAGTATAAAACCACAAGCCTACTGTGAATTAAGCTATCCAACATGCACTGGAAATATCTTTATATATAAAAATTTCGTGTCACGTGTTTGTCCGCGATGGACTCCTAAACTACTAAACCGATTTAAATTTGATTTGCATTCCGTGTGCATTTTGATCCAACTTGAAAGATAGGATAGCTTACATCTCAATTTATAGTCACTATATTATTTTATTGCAAATTATTTGTCCATATGTAATGTGACAAGAACCTTAGCCACAGCAACGCGTGGCTGAGTCTATTAGTATTCATATAAGTACATTAAAAAAGAAAATAAGTACACATCACGTGTGTAACTGCTGATAATACTTTTTCTGGTCACGAAATCTCTTTGTAACTATTTACCTTTTCATTTGCACGTTGCTTTCTAAGATAATTAACAGCTCGGCTAGGCCGTTGGCAGTTCGGAATGGGCCAGAATATTCTGGAAAAATCCAGTACGAGCGGGACTGCGATAGCAAATCGAATTAAAAAGATTCCCCTTGTATCTGACGGGAGCTCGCCGCGCTAAAATGCAAATACTGCAATGTTTTTTTTTATTTAAATCAAAAGATTGAATAAGGGGACATCATAAATGTAAAATTGGTTACTGGGTTTATTGCATTCTGTACTGGAGACAGAATTAGTACGATGACGAATGCAGAGACAAAGAATTCAATGTTTTGAAGTTTAAATTTAGAACGTGTGACTAAGTTGCTAGGTATGGATTTTTTTTTTGCAAAATACGTAGGAATATTATGAATTTCATAACTAATTAAAAATACAATAAACTAATATTGCAGCTAAAACATGTGCAGGCACTTTTGTCACGATAAAATAAAATAATAATCCATCAATCTGTTCATCAGCAGGTTGTTCAAAATTGTAGATTCGAATGGAGAGGATCAAATAAGAAACAACTTTACTACTCTTCTAAAAATGTTTTACAATTATTAATTTACAAATTACATTATTATATGAAAACAATGCAGAGGACAAATTATTAGAAAAACAAATGATGGGATCAATTTTACATCAGAATTTTTTTTTCGAACATGGCGCTCGCATAGTGCATAAATACTATCTACTTTCAAATCATATTCCTTACCTTATTAATGGAATCATAATATACCAATTGAGTGTCAGAAGTGTCGAATAAGGGATTAGATATTTTACAAAGACTAAGCCACGGCGTTCTGTGATAAATCTCAGCCTTGTAAGATGTTATTTTCTACACGCTTGCGATGCGCGGACATTTCTCCAAGGAACCCCTCTTCTTGGAGGAGGCCCACAATCAAGGACTGTTGATTTGAAATTACTATTATTCAAAGAGTTTCATACATATGGCCAACCAGGCCTGATGTTCAGCCGGGATTGCGGGTCAAGCGCAATTATGTACCGCGGCCTTGACCTTGCGCAGGTAAAGGTTCGGTGTGATTTTTAGTCAGTAAGAGTCTGACACTCTCTCTCGCGTCAATCATAGGAAAAAGTATAGGATTTTTATGCTTGTCACAGACTAGAGCGTCGAGTCAATTAACAAGAAGTGGAACTGATATTTAATAATTCATACAGCTATAGGCAATCACTTGAATAAATCTATGTACCTATCTAAGAGCTACTTACGTAAGATATTAAAGGAACCTGTTTTTCCTCTTATGTATGTATATGTGTTTATTAATGTTATTTTATTTAGCTTAGACTAGACTTTACCTACTTTGAAAGGTCTGTTTTTAGACTCCAATTCGGAGTTACATATTAAAAGTATTTATTTTACCTAACAATTACGAACCAATACGAGGCCATTTTTGTGCTTTTTATTAAAAGTTTTAAGTTACGAGGGGTCGACCCTAAAACCAATATACAGGATTTTATTCAAAAATCCACACTAGGCCCCCTCAGTTATTCTTTTTTATAGGATATTTGACTTTATATCAACAAAAAGATAAAGTTGAAAATCGAATAAAGATATTTTACAAATACGTATGTTGCCCTCTTGGTCACTTTACAAGGGTCATCAAAAATAATACATCACCCATCATAATGTTAAAACCTTGACCTTATTCATAAGTCAAAAGAAATACGTTAGTGCAAAAAAATATCCTGTTTAATAAATAATTCAATGATCAACATCTGGCATAAAGTTTAATGGACGAATATCATCTCATTTGTGTATGCAAGCCAGTACTAGACTAGATCTGTATCAAAATCACACACATCACAGCATTCGCCTATAAATGCCCACTGCTGAGCAAAGGCCTCTTCTCACACGGAGAAGGTTTGAGCGTTAATCACCACGCTTGCTCAAGACAGATTGGACATTTCAAACTTATAATTAAATTATAAGTGCAGGTTTCCTCACTATGTTTTCCTTCACCGTATGTCAATGGTGTCTAAATAATAGAAAGTACATATAACTTGGAAATAGTCATAACTTCGAACCCTCATGCATTAAAAGCATACCTTAACCTCCGGGCCACCTGCAAACATGTATATTTTGATAAATAGGTACTTATAATTTGAAACTCATCATAAAACAACAAACTTTACAACATAAAAACTCTTTTTTGGAAAGACCTCTAACGAATTTGTTTGGTACTGCGTGTGACTACAGACGGCGCTGATTGCTTACCATCAGGTAATCTGTTTAATTCATCTGTTCGTTGGCACCCTATTCTATAGAAATAAAACAGTGATAAAGACTCTAAATACCTTTAAAATAAAGTTGAAAATGACCCAAATGATGACGTCATCTAATCCAGGCTTACGCTGTTATCTTTTATCAAGTAAGGCAGTAATATCCTTGAACATTTAGGTCAGCGCTAAAAGAGTTACGTTAGTGAAGTAGTACTGGTTTTAATATATTCTTGTATCACACTGTTTGTGAGACAAGATCTGTGGAATATGCACTTGCAATATGTATGTTAAATAGTTTATGATAATTGCGGTCTTGACAACATATCGAATTGAATACTTATTTCAAATTGTTAAACTGTTTTCAATTATTTGTAAGAGACTGTATGTTGTATGTATGTAGGTATCTACTAAAGTTAGCTAGAAAAATTAAAATATCTATAATGCATCTATTATACTGTAAAATCTATTGAAGCACGTGTGATTATTATTATATTATTCTCATATTCAAATAGTCATCAAAATTACTTATCAACAGAAACAAAACATATGTATAAGCACCTATTATTTTGTAAAATCTACTTTAGAAGGTGTTAGTAATTATTTTTGAATATTTTATTGCAACACTTGCTTTCAAATACTTTAGCATTATTTCGTCGGCTAAGTGACCGTTAGCCCTGGGCCAGTGACCACACAAAAGATCGGTAATGTAGACGTTACTTCTCAGACATTACGGGGTCCATGGGCGGCGCCGATTGCTCATTTGTCTTTTATTAGGACTCTTTGCACCTTGTTTAAAATAAACTTGGGCCAGTAGCTTACTATTCTACTTTTAGGACTGATTTTTCGTAGCTGAATTTCTTCTATTATTATATATTTTTCCAAATGTTCTGTTGCTTATTTACCTAGTACAATATACATTCTTAGAGTTAAAACAATATTATTAATATACCAGTAATGTTTAGGTGTAGGTGCGTTGTACAGAAGTAATCCAACTTAAGTAATTAGGTCTCATTAGTTCTCATTTATTACCTAGCTCATAGGTCAAGCTCCGGTGGAATAGGTCGAGAACTTTCTATAAAAAGTGCGGTGTAATGTTCTTGCTTTGAATTCGAAAAATACCTTTTCCTCGTATTTAAAGCGATAATTAAATGTTTACTACAATACAATGCTTATATTCATGGATTTGTCGTTTTTTTTATTTAATAGGTCGGCAAACGAGCTGACGGATTTCCTGATGGTAAGCAATCAGCGCCGCCCATGGACACTCGCAACGGAGGAGTTACGAGTACGTTGCCGACCTTTTAGGGATTACGGATTTGGAGATTTAGGGATTTAGGAGGGATTGGGAGAGGGGAAGGATTGGGCCTCTGGTAATCTCACTCACACGGCGAAACACAACGCTGTGGTTATTTCACGCTGGTTTTCTGTGAGGCCGTGGTATCACTCCGGTCGAGCCGACCCATTCGTGCCGAAGCATGGCTCTCCCATACTTGTCGTTGAAAAATGCTTTGATTTCATAACAAAATAGTACGGTAAGTATTAGGTACTGCTAATGAAGGACGTATGTAGTTGTGCAAATATTTACGTAAATATTGTAAATATAATAGAATATAATCTAAAATAAAACATAGCGTCATTATAACGGTCGTACGTGCTAAGTCACTGGCTAGAAGCTAGTGTATCGTAGATGTTGTACCTGTTAAAACCAATACTTTTTTGGGGGGTTACTAAAACGTGACGTCATGATTTTTGCGTGAAATGTAATATTTACAAAATTAGCCCCAAATATTTCTAAACTAAGTTATATATCAATTAAATTTTATTTCGTTATTTTTAAATCCTATAACAGATATTAATTTTGGATACAATCGATTTTTTATTGAATCATCATTGTTATTTAGTAACAATGAGATTTTATTGTTAATCCTTTCAACTCCTATACTAATATAGTAAATTATTGTTTACAGGGAACAGCGCCAGTTCAGGAAAAACTGTGTAAAATAATGTATAAGTGAATAACCGATACTTATCCTCAACCATATCATATTGTTTTAGTGACCTATATCAGTAGTGTTAGTCAAGTGTAAGTGTAAAATTAGTGTAAAAATAAGTGAAGTGAGTGAAAATGTCGGAGCGTTTTAAAGTTACGAAGTTTGAGGAGCCTTCGGGGAAAACGTATAAGAATTATGGAGCGACGTCCGCGGAGAGCGACGTGGAACTGAAGGGGAAGCTGCTTCCCGACTCAGGTTAGTTTGACATGTACATGCAGTTTAGTTATACCTAATCATAAGTTCGAAACTCAAATTTCGAAATGGTTCTATTTCAATTTACTTATACCTAATCATAAGTTCATAATTCAAATTTCGAAATGGTTCTTTTTCACACGTGTTTCGAACTATGGTCGTGCATGTGTCATTTGAGTTTTAACAAAAGAGGTAAATTATCAACAATTTAAGATACTGTGTACTTCAGCTCATCTTAATACCTATTTAAACTCCACATAAGCGTGAAATTTGTGAAAGTGATCTGATCTGTTCAAATTCTTGCCTCTTGTATTTGTTATTGGGAGTAAAGATAAAAGAATAACATACAAAGGTACGGGATTTTACTATTAAGAAAAAAATATATAAGCGTGTTGTATTGTCCTTTGAATTCTTTGATACCTACGACGAAGTGAAATTTTTTGCTTAATAAGTAGTATAAGTACCAGATACCTGGAGATTGAAATAAAAAACAATGTTTGTTGTCTTGCAAAAAACACGTTGCTTCGTTTTCTCCTGTGTTGTGGATGAGATAACAAACATACAAATTCACATACGCATTACATCCATACACACAAAGGGTTGTCCCGTGCGAGAAACGAAACCGCGACACGTTGCTCGGCAGCTGTTTCCCAGCCACCGCGTCAACTGTGCATTCAAATTATGTTAATAAGAACTGGGCGAAGGACATAGGATAGGATAGGTAGTGTAGGTTAGGTGGAGTAGGGTAGGTAGAGTAGAGTAGGTAGAGTAGGGTAGGTAGAGTAGGGTAGGTAGGGTAGATAGAGTAGGGTAGGTGGAGTAGGGTAGGTAAAGTAGGGTAGGTAGAGTAGGGTAGGTAGAGTAGGGTAGATAGAGTACGGTAGGTAAAGTACGGTAGGTAGAGTAGGGTAGATAGAATACGGTAGGTAAAGTACGGTAGGTAGAGTAGGGTAGGTAGAGTACGGTAAGTAGAGTAGGGTAGATAGTCAAATGACGGGAGCGACGCCGCGGGTAAGAGCTAGTTAAAATTAAATAAAGATCAGTAGTGGGATTATAATGAACATTTCCATCCAAACAACAATAATAATGCTCTACGTAATAAATTCATAAATGTAAAATAAATAAGTAGGTTATAGTTGAGTTTCGCATTTTAATGACTGATTCGAACAATGAATAAAACAAGAATAATAGGTCTAAATAAACAATAATAATCCACAGTATTTATTTAAACATACTTTGTTATGTGAATTAAACAATTTTAATATAAACAGTAAAATAGTTTTACGGTATTCTAACTAAAATACGAAATAATGATTACAAAATTGAAGTACCTACTGGCTGAATATTAATAAACGCTAATATAAAAAAAAATACTGACTACTTGACGCTGGAAAATATATAATTTTATTAAAAAAATAAAATTATTTGCAGTTATGTGTGCGATGCTCACAGTGTTGTTTTTTATTCAATAGTATGAGCCCTACGCGTGGTTTGAAACCAATCGAGCTACCCTGTCATAAAGTAACGTAAGTAAGCCAAACAACACGACTGAGAAGAGAAAGAAGTCGTTTATGGGAATTGGTGTGTGTCGCCATTTCAGTGAAGTAGCTCCAATCCTCCAATACCCCCCCCCCCCTCCCAATCCAAAGGCAAGGCACTCGTAACTCCTCTGGTGTTCCGAGTTTCATTAGATAATTTGAAAAAATATGCAATAATATAAAAATAAGTGCTTTATTCATCGAATAACGACTTAATAACTCAAAATACTGATAAGCAACTCCTAAGTGAACTTTCAGTGAACAATTAACCTGACCCTACGTAATAATTACTTGTAAATAAATAAGCCATTATTACTTCTATTAAGTTCTTGTTACGGTAGATTTGAGTTATAAGCGTCAATACAAGGCGCAAAGTCGTTGAACTTACTAAGAAATGAAGTTATTTTTGTCCGATTAACGAAAAACAGTTGAATTACTTTAACCTGGCGACTACCAATGTCGCTTTTCCGAGTTACAATGTACTTTCTAAAAATCTTTTTGTTATCAAAAATATAATAAGCCTAGCAAATAGTGTAGAGTCTAATTCCGGCGTCATGAACTTGTAAAAAACTCCTCTTTTGCTAATAGGTAATTTAGGTCCTTTTGTAAGGTCAGTTGCTTGACGTGCACGCATCATTTGGATCGAATATCTAAAACTAAATTAAAAATTATCTCAGCTTAGGTTTTTTAGGCTTTTTGTCTACTGAGCATTGAATGACTGCACGGTTGGTGCGGTGGCTGGTTAACTGGCTGCCGTGCAACGTGTCGTGGGTTCGATTCCCGCACGGAGCAACTCTTTGTGTGATCCATTAATTGTTGTTCCGGGTCTGGGTGTCATGCGTATGTGAAAATGCATGTTTGTAACTGCATCTACGACACAGGAGAAAATCCGAGTGTGACGCGACATTTAAAAAAAAACGAATATCGTACTGGTTTATTTGTTGTCACCATAAAATACGCTATATTATGAGTATTATATAGTTGCTGTAGCTATTTAATAGTAGACTGTACCGTGACCCACGTGTTGTCGGGGTCAAATCACCCTTGGGTGTCATTACGGCAAATGAACAACGAGATCAATGAAATATTCGTGTCTAAGTACCTAATCGATATACTTAAAACATACTTATATTACACCAAAATTGCATGATATACAACTTCTTAAACAATTTAAAAACCATTTTATATTTACAGTTTTTTTGTGTGAAGGAAATATCATCAAATTACTTCAAGTGTAAGTCAAGTCATGTGTCAAACTCTTACGGACTAGAAATCCCTATGTTCCTTCTCCTGCTTTAGGCTGAGGTCGCAGTTGAACCTCAGCCCTACAGGGCCCCGTCCGTGGTGGTTTGTTGCCTCTGTGAGGCTCGCCCGGGACGCTACGGACCTTACGCACGGGTCTCGTTCTGGTCGGGCGGCGAGCTACCCTTACTTGCCGCAGTGACCGGAGATCGTGTCTCAGTTGGTACAGTGACTGGACAACGTGGCTGCTTGCTTAATAAAGTGTTTTGATTCCTTCCACACACGCACGCTTGCCCATTGCGGATTGGTGATTTCAAACTTTTAATTATAAAACATTAGCTCCTGTGCTACAATTGGCTTCGGCTGCGTAACTAGGGTAAGAAACAGTCTATGTCTTAATACAGAGTAACTCTATCTGTATGCCAAATTTTATTAAAAAGTCATTTATTTATCTATCCGTCCATATTAACCAACTTTCGTATTACTGCTTTATGCTAGTTATCTAGGTAATCTTAGAAAGTACATTTAACTCGGTAAAAGTCACATTGACTGAGAAAAGCTCTACTAAATAGTTTCAAGTCAAAACGGGATTCTTATTCATGAGCAGGTTCCGCGGCTTTGCGGCGCGGTTACAATCGTTATCTATACTTCTATACTAATATTATAAAGAGGTAAAATTTGTAAGTTTGTATGTTTGTAAGTTTGTATGTAGGGGATAATCTTTGGAACCACTGGTCGGATTACAAAATTCTATCACTGATAGGTAGCTATAATGTTCCTGAGTGCTATAGGCTATACAACATCACGCTACGATTAAATAGAGCTGAGCAGCGGGTGAAACCGCGCGAGAGAAGCTAGTTGTCAATAAATTTAGTATGTCACAATAGTTGCTATTAAGAAAAGTGTCATTTAGTACTCACACCCTCATCTATAAGAAGCATTCGCCTTGACCTAAGGGCTTTATGAGAACCCAGATTTCAGTATCACAAATTGTTGTTCTTGTAATACATGATGTACTTGTAATACATTTTCCTACTAAAACCCAAAGAAAATGCTAACTAATTTGTTCAATATGTGCATTAACTGAGACAAAAAACATAAACAACATACACACATCCAAAAATAAAAACTCAGCGACAAAATAGGGTTGTAACATTTTACTTTTTGCTACACCACATCACTTAAGCAATGCTGCAAACTGGATCCGAGCTCCGTCCCCTACAAAGTTGACAAAGGAATGAGAGACGGGCGAGGGTTTTGCCAACCCTATGTGTTTTGTATTATGTACTGTGTACGGCTTACGTAAATGTTCTGATTTTTATAATTATAATCATAACCAGGTCATCATAAAAATCTAACTTGAAAGATTTTTGTTACTGAGTGCGAATATTGATTGATTAATGATAGTGTGTGAAACTCGCGCAAGAAGCATTCCGTGTCCAAATCACTCTTGTTGTATTAGAAAATATAAATTTAATTGTTTTTATTAATATTGTTATATCGGCAACAGAAATATATTATCTGTCCAAATTTCAATTATCCAGCTATAACAGTTTATGGGTTACAGCTTGGTGACAAATGAAAAGTTTCCCGGAGAAGGACAGCTTTAGTTCAGGGCTCCCGTTTTTACCCTTGGGAACGCAACCCTAAAAATGTGTAAGTCTGTCAGTCGTTCCAAAAAGTAGATCGGTTTTGTCTGTTGTACAGCACTACAGTATTAGTAAAACCCCCTCCTTTTTTGAAAGTCGGTTAATAAAGAATACATATTCAGGAGACACAAAGAGTCTACCAAAGCTTCGAGGGATATTTTTACAGGAATAGTATAAAATGTATATTTTTTACTGTCCAATTATTGGTATTTCCCACAGCTGGCGTGTCGCAAGATTATTACCCCATCCACCACGCTGAACGAACATTGGTTTCCATGAAGTTACGGTAAAAATATTATTGTTAGTACATTAGAAAGAGGTTAGTGCTATAAGCATTATGAGAAGTTTTGTTCATGGGTGGGTTGGCTGATGCGTTTAGTTTTATTTTAATTTTTGCAAAACTAGGATAGTTGCAAGTGCGTTGCCAACTTCTTGTGGTCTGGGATTTAAGGATAGGGCTAATTGGGGAAGGGTGGGGGGAGGTTTTGGTCTCCTTTGACAAAACGACACACAGAGCAAGTATTGACGCACACCGGTTTTCTTTGAAGCCCTATCACTCCGGTCAAACCGTTGGGCATCTGTGCGACACATGCCTCGTCAGATTTCGTGATTGCTGCTTATGAGTCCTTGGCGTCGTTTGAAACTAGTTGAGTATATTCGTCTAACAATAATTACGGGAGAAGCCAAAACCAACAACTAACGAGTTAATTAAATTATGGTTTTACTGGTATAAATGGTTGTTTAAGTATATTAATTAATTTAAACCGTCAACCAAAAGATTAAAATAAAATGAAGAACATTGTTTTACAGAAATAGGTTTTCTGTAGACGAGGTAAATCGATACGATGTTTACATAAACGTAGGGTCAATGTCAGTTTAACTTTGTTAGGTAACTATTAAACACCAAACACGTTAGGCTAAACGAGTACCTAATGCGTCGATTGGGCCTTTGTGTTGGTTAGAAACTAATTTTAGGAATTAAAAGAATGACTTTCACTTTTAAAACGAAATATATTACTTACGTGTTTTTTTATGGATGATAAACAATCAGGGCCGCCCAGACAATAGCAAAATCCGATTGGAAGCTAGCACGTTGCTGGCCTTTGGGGATTAGGGTTTCGGAGATTTAAGGATTGGGGAGAGGAAAGATCCGGTAACCTCGCGTACACGACAAAACACGACTCTTTAGGTGTTGGGTGTCCATGGGCAGCGTTAATTATATATTCACCATCTGGTAATAAGTCCGTTTGCTTGCTTTCCTCTAGCATCAAAAAGATAAGAAACGACTCCAGAACTCGATATCTTTGCATTTTTTATTTCTATTGTGAATTCAATTTATGTAAATAATTCGTTGTTTAAGTCCGAAAGTCATCCGAATTTCGAAACTCCAAACTCTAAAGACATATTTATTTAAACAACAGTACAAATAGAATAAACTGCAACGTCTTTCGTTTCTAACAATCTTCTTTGTTATATATACACATACATAGTATATTCACAAAACAAACTTGAACATTGCGAAATAAATTGAAAGAATATTAGAACAAAGTTCAAATACAAACATCATAACGGGAGTGCATACAAATAAATATGTTTTCAAAACTCACTCAAAGAGGAAGAAAAGGAAATGGCACAAATGGAACTGAAAATTTCCTTTTCCCATCGACTTCCTATGAGAAAATGCGTCAGCTATATCATCAATGCGAAAGCTTATCTGTTTGTCTGCTTTCGGTGTTAAAGACTGAAACTGCTGCATTAAAATTGATGGGATTGTTAGCTATTGACAAGTATAAAGATAATATTAATAGGTTATTTCTAAATAATTTAAGTATGGGAACGTCATGCTTCGGTATGCTAAGTTAGCCCTACTAGAGGTATGCCGTGAGTTCACAGAAAACCGAAGTGACGAGATCGGTGTGTTTCGCTGTTCATCGTAGGTAGAATTCTTCGTTTCACCGCATATCTGATCCACAATCCCCAAGTCTTTCTTACCCTTAAAAGCTGGGTAAGACATCTTATAAGTCGTAGGACGGGCGGAACCGAATTTCATTAGATGGTCTGTTCTGTCTGCCTTATTTATGATATGCAGAAATTCTTATTAGGTTTATTCCGAATTTCACTATCGTATTCCAAAGTTTTGGAGCTGAACATAATAAAAAAGAAGAAATAAAGACAGAAGAAATAAATATTTCCTTGCATATTCTTAACAACATATCCATAATGTGTTACGTTTTGTGATGTGTATAGAAAGTATAGTAGAAAATACGTCGAAAATGTTAGCAAAATAACGTTCGAAAACTATTGAAGCCTTCGACGAAATGTTAAAGCATGAAAATAAATGATTTTACGCGTTAGTAATTACGTTACACAAGTCATAGAGAAGTTCTAGAGCAACCAATTTTGTTAATGGTTTGGCAAATACACAATAAGAGGCTTTTTGACGTCAAGCCGGTTTTTGCCATTTATACTTGTACCCTTAGATGAAATTAGTGTACCTACACTTATTACACTTACTTTGAAGTTCTTATAGTAGTATAAAATTTTCTATCGTCGTCATTTTCTCAAGTTACTTGATATTAAAATGGTTTGTGTTGTGTGCTATCAATTGTCTCCTTTTTGCGATTCTTCTTTATTAATAAAGATTTTTTATATAAGGATTATATATTATACAAATACTTATGTATAGTTTTTTGGATACGTTACATCAATTGACTTTTGTCGTCCTGGCTATGGCAGGAGGGAATTCCTTCTCCGGCTCCATGCCGAGACTGCGATACCTTATGAGTTTACCAGATGCTAAGTCATCATCATCATCATCAGCCAATAAGTGCTCATTGCTGAGCAAAGGCCTCTTCTCACACGGAGAAGTTTTGAGCAATAATCAATGCGGGTTGGCAATTTCAAACTTATAATTAGAACTATAAGTCTAGGTTTCCTCACCATGTTTACCTGCACCGTGGTGTCTATATAATAATAGAATGTACATATAACTTGGAAAAAGTCACATTGGTACATGCCAGGTTTCGAACCTACACCCTCATGCATGAGAAGCGGGCTCCTTAACCTCCGGGCCACCATGATACGATCTCCAAAAAATCTAATGTAAATAGGAATTCTGTTAATACTTAAATCTGTCTAACAATAACATCGATATCCGTGATTTGTTTTTTCATGTCCAAAGTCTGTGTTTATGTAAATGAATCACGAGTTTAATGTACTTATTTCAAAGTAAACGTTCTTTATGATCTTAGTTTTGATCGATAACGCAAAATAGAAATACTTTTTAACACAGAAACAAGAGAAAATATACAGTGACTTAAAAAAATCATAATAATTTGTTTGTGGCTTTTCAAATCCTCTTTCTCTCAAAAAGATTAGTTCAACTATAGACATCAACCTAAATATTTCTTGTAACTTTTATTTAAAAACTTCATCTTGAACATTCAAAAAGGAAACTAAGTATTTTTAATTTAAAAACATTTTTAAATGGACAAAGTTTCACTACACTATACAAAAAACGAACTATACAAGACTTTGTGTAGAAGTTCGAGCG